GATCAGTTGTTAGGCAGCTGTGCCCAAGTGAATCTGTGGCTGATTTTGGCAGAATTATACAAATTGTCAATAATGTTTGACAGATTATTTAGACACAACTTGATCCATGCATATGTGAAGTGGCTTCTTTGCATTGCTTCATAAAAAGGATTTTATGAATGTTGACCAACTGTTAGCTTGATCCAGGGCAATTATAAAGGATGAAACGTGAATACATGACTAGTATACTAAGTGGAAGAACCAACACTAACAGGAAACCAAGAAACTGCTGAGTTTATGTGCTACAAATGTCATGGACTGAATCCTAGGGTGAGAGAATACTTGCTTGAAGGAGAAAGGATGAAAAGTAATTTTGACAAAGATCAAAGAAAGAAGTATGGTGTTATAAGTGCCAAGCATTAGGTCAAATTTTGTCAGATTGTTTGCAAAAAAGAATGAAGGAAAACATAAATGTCAGCCCCCTCTCCATCCAGGTGAAATGTAAATGTGGTGCTAATTGTAATTGAAGTCCAGATTGATGGGATAACATACATGGCTTTAGTGGATTCTGCATGTTCCTGATTGATTGTAAGTTAGTTTTTCAGCTACAGAGAAGGGAAGATGTGGATATTCTAACTGTTAATGAGAAAACTTGTTAGTGCTGTGGAATTGGAAGTATTAACCTTAGTGGGTGCAATATGGATTTGGTTAAGGTTGAAATTTTGGTAGTAGACTGAAAACTGTTAGGATTCAACCTCCCTCTTAGTATTAATGCCATTAAGGCATTGGGTGATATCTAGATCAATCAGTCAGGTACAGTATGTTTTACTAAGGAAGAAGAATCTCTGCTGGGCTAGTTGGAGCATCCAACCCAATTTCAGTATAAATTTTAATAAGTGAAATGTTTGAACTGTGACATGGAAATGGTTAGATTAATGGGAGCCTTAGAAGCTATAGGATAATGTTTCAAAGTACCCCATATCCACAGAAGTTAAAGAAGACTATAAATGTGAGATTCATGTGTGAATCAATAAGAGCTGGTTGCTATCATATTTGGAAGTCAATTTGGACTCTCAAAGGTCTGTTTCCTTTGATAGCTATTGTCCAAGAGAACAAGGTGACACTGTACCCTGTAGTAGACTACAGAGAGCTGAGTGGACACATTGGCTAATGTAGATGTATATGCAAAGAAATTAAGGGAATAGCAACAGTAAAAACATATCTGTCATTAACCTCATGAGTGTATGCCTGCAAGTGCATGCTCATGAGTTATTGTTGCCATGAAGGGCATGGCATATAAAAGAACAGTGTTTCATGTGAAGAGATATTTATTTACAATAATTGGTTTCAGGATAAAGTGATATATTAAAAAAAATATTTTTCAATCAATCTATAGATGTGGTACCAGTGCATTTGGAGAAAAGAAAATTAGAGATAAGCAGCACCTGGTAAAGGCTGCAAATGGATATCATGCATTGTGAGGGCAGTCATTACTTGGAACTTGTTTACTGCAATCCTACATGTTTTTCAATTTGTCAATGGTTATTTTGGTAGGACTCTGAAGTTATAATATACCAACTAGTGTCTGTATCTTTTTGAAAGAAATCTACTAAACTTCTCATGGATAATGACATTATCTGTCAAGGTTTTTAAGACTTTGTGAATGAGTAGAGAATTTTGATACATTTTGGTGTACATATCTTTTGTTAGAAAATGAAATAGTATGAAGGTATCATATGAGTGTCAAGTGAATTGCTGTGAAGAAGTAGTGTTCTCCGCCTGAGAAGTGTACAATGTAACACCCAAGGATGACACCCCACCTGCTGTTGTACCAGTCACTGAGATCCAAAAATACAAGATTTGACTGAAATGTATTTATGTAGTTCTTTTATTGAGATCTGGGGTGATGCATGGCATGGATGATGTTGGAGATACTCTTAGAATAAAAATGCCTCAAAACCAATGCACTTCAGATTTTGGTTTTGGGTGAGTCATTGGCATCATTAGCCTGCAATACATTGAAGCTGATAGTATCTGAGGACATCTTTGGGATATTCAACCCTTGCCAAATATATCTGAAGACATCAACAATGTATTATAGTAGTTCCTTTAAGATTTTTTTATGTAAATCACCCAAGCTCAGTAATTTTAATAGCTAATCCATGAAGGTGACTTATTTTTAAAAACATCTTGCTATAATTCACCAGATGTTATTTCATAACGCAAGAATGGCTAGAGCTATGCTTACCAAATTTTCTGTCAGTACTAATAGGACTCTGAAGTATGTTTTAACCTATTATTTTTTGAAAATTCCCAAACCTTTAAAATTTAAATGAGTACTTTGATTTACAATGTAGTTATGATGCTAAACTGAACTATTAACTCTATGTCCATCATGTTAACTCAACCAAATCTTTATCATTTTGTCTAACTGTATAAAGCAGATATCTGGTTGAAAATTTCCTAGCTAGAAACCAAATATTTTTTCATTACTTTTTCATGTAACTTTTACTGTGGTAATTGAAACTTGGAAGTCAAAACATTATAAAAGAAATTTTTGTTGCTGTGTTCACATTTGTAATATGAGCAATGGCCATCAGAGTTTAGCCTTGTTCACTGCTTGACAATGTTGATTAACTTTAATTTATCAGTCCTCACAAAATCATAATTTCTTTATTGCTGCAATAAAAATCCAGGAAATATATATAGATTTAAAAAAAAAATATATGTACTTGAAATTTAAAATAAATGCAATCCAAGATAGTGATGATTTTCAAATAAGGTATAACTTATGATTTATTGATACCAAAGGACTTATTTAGGCCTTCCACATGAACTAACTTAAAATCCTATCCATAAGTTGGATTTTCATTTAATTCTTAAAATGCATTGGTTCTAACTGAAATTGAACTGAAAAACTGGAAATGAAGATACATCAATTTTACCACTTTTTGTTTTTGTTAACTGATTTGTAGCTAAGTGATAAATAGTACTTTAAACAATATAATACCTAACAAAATACATCAGTTAATAAAACAACAATAGCAGGTGTGTGTGTGTGTGTGTGTGTGTGTGTGTACTTGTTAATATGAATAACAAATGCACAGATCAGATAAGGTAAGGTAACATATGATGTCAACTTATAATTGATTGAATCTCTGAGGTGGAATAAGAATCATTGGTTCTTTATTTCATTAGTGCCATCCATTATGGTTGTAACCTATAATTTATAATTATATTTTTGTATAGATTCAGAAATACTGTTATGATCAGAATCATCTACTGTTGCTAATCCATTTTAGGATAAAGTCCTTTCCCAAACAATGTCATGATAGTTATGATTGTGATGTTCTCTACCATTTTGAAACACAACCCTTGTTTCATCTGTTGTTATTTCAGTGATGTTACTCATATTTATTTGAGTGTCAGTTGCTGGTATTTTTATTTTGTAAGCATATTTCCATATTAATCCTTAGTTATTGTTGATGTTTTGTCTTTACATTAGTGATTTCTCTGTTTCTGTTCTTCAATGCAAATATTGTTGTTTATCAATATGGGTTGTGAATCAATCATATTTCAAGCGCTTCCTTTTCTCCTACTTTTTCAAAGTTCATTTTTTCTTTATTTTATTTCTCATTGTTTAGTTGATTCATTTGTTTAATTCTGCATGTTCAGTTTTATCTGCCTTAGCATTTACAAGCATATTTCTTTTTTTTGTCATCACTTAGTGTTGACTTTGAGTTATCTCCCTTTGTTATTGTGAGTTCCATTTGGTTTCCATGTTATCTGTGATTTCCTTAATTATAGTTATAAATTTACTATTCATATTTTTTATATTATTTTTATTAATCTACAAAACTTGGAATCTATTCTTGATTTTTACCTGAAATTCAACAATTTTCTCTCTAATCTTAGGATATGTTTTCTTTCTGTGGATAATTTTGTTTCTGACAATTTTAGAGTGAATAAATAAAGTTAACATAGTAAGCAATCATAGAATGATAGTATGCAGATTCAAATTTGACTCTGTAAATTACCATTCTATAACTGTTTTCTGTATCAAATTTCTTTATGATGATTACAACATTAACTGTACTGACTTAGCAATTTTTCTTCTATGTGCTGTGTCCCTTGAAGATGTTGGTGATCATGGCTCTCCATAGTTTCATGTCTTTTGTAGCTCTTAATAACTTTTATTTTTTTGCCATGTCTCTCAAACCCTACTCTGCCATCCATTCAATCAAGCTTGTCAAGTAGGTTGTGTGTTACATTCCTCTGACAATCTTACTCCAATCTGTCCTGTGAGTATCAAATTTTCCAAGTCTTCTTTCCTCATTATGTGCCCCAGAAATTAGCAGTTATGAAACCAATTTCATATCTTTTTTTTTCTCTGGTCTTTTTCAAGTTCATTTACAGCCTCTTCACGTTTAAAAATGTGTATTCATAATTTCATAATGACCATTTTGTGTCTTTCTGAGAATTTTCCATTTTATTAGATAAAATCTTGTATTCCCTATGTATGAGATGTTATGCTTTCTCTGCTCCTAATGGATTTCTAAATTTATCCTTTTAGCTGTCTTATTGAAATTAACAGTCTTATTATTAGAAAGTTGTTGTTTTTTTTTTACTTATTAAATTCTCTCTTATTAAAATCTAACTTGCTTGGGAGAATTTTCTACATTTCTTTTGCATGTAGAAAAAACTCCTACCCATCTCCTTATCAAATTATAAGGCTTAACTTTGAACAAAATCAAAACTTATAATTTTCTTTTAAGTGGTTAGATTAATCTGCTAAAGCAGTTAAATTGTAGAGCAAAGTGAGATTGCAAGAAATAATCACAAAATTATCTTTAGTGTTAAATCATTCTCCTTTTCATTGTTGTTTTCAGACTCTTTGTAGATTCTTTTTACTTTCAGCAATGATATCTGTAAAACTGGTCCACTTAAGTTTTCTTTTCTTTCCTTCATTTTTAAAAACCTTTCTTGATGTTTTGATCTAATCTTGCTTAATTTTAACAAAAATGCTTGCAACTAGTTTGACTTGCAAATTCCTCTTCTCTCCTTATGATATTTTATTTCTATTGACCATATTGGCACCAAGAACAGCATTTGTTTCCTTCTTCAAACTTGCTGTCACATATGTATACACACCTCTCCAGTTATCACATCTGATGGTTGAACCCTTTGATTGAATACATTTCAAAGTTGTGTACATCCATGTCTCAATTCCTTTAGATGGGATACAATGGATACTAAGATGGGAAGGATCTCTGAGGTGAACCTGATTGAGTTCAGTGGTGACCTGTCCATCAAACTCATCAAAAATCAGTGACAGCAGGTGGACTGTTACCCACTATCTTCATAAAACTCAAAATAATTGATTGTGTGATTCATTTTCTAAGTTTTATTTGCAGCCAGAAAATATTTTTAGATTGTAAGAATTTTTTTTTAAGATAATGGTGATTTAGTGATACTAGTATTACTAATTAACCCATAGTTCAGGGAGAAAGTTAGATTCATATCTTTCCCATGAGTATTCGTACATAAATGAATATAACAAATCCAACTACAATTGAAAATTAGCACACTGATTATCAATTCCAAGCCATTATTCATTGTACTATGCACACATCAAAGCTTATAGCACCTGGTATTCCCCAGTGATCGCCCATGTAAGTACTGACCAGGCTCAATCTTGCTTAACTTCAGTGATTGTACAGGAACAGGTGTTTCAATATGATGTAGCCATAAGCAAAACTCAAAATGATCACAAAATTAAGGATATGCCATAACATACCTGTTGGATTATTGTTCAAGAAAGATCTATAATTGGCTTGTGTAGCTTTGGGTAGTGTGTCACCAATTGTGACAAGAAATTGTCTAAGCATGACAAAGACTTGGACATTAAACAAAATCAGAAAATTTGATAGTAGAAGAAAGTGACCATATATTTATAATATATACCTGTGCTCAAAGAGAAAATAGGAATCAAAATCTAATAATAAACAAAATGGAATTATTTGTGAGTATTGTATAAATAATTTCATTAAAGGAACAAATCTATTTCTAACTCAAATTTAAATAAGACCTTTAAATGTTGCTGATTTAAAAGAATAATCATAACACTATTTATGATAATAAAAAGAAGTATGTAGAATATTCATTAAAGAATATGCTTGCTTCCTCTTTGATATTGATATCATGCTTAACTGTGTCCTTGAGTAATAAATCTGAGAGAGGGTTGGCTATTTTATTCCTCTGGGTTTTGAGAAAGAAGTAAAATTAAAACAGGGAAATAAAGTTGTGCGTAGCTCTGTATGTCTTGATAGAAAGTGATAAAATTTGGAATGTGTTGAGGCTTGAATAAGCATGGAATAATAATAATACAACACAAAATGTACGTAACAAAATGTATTGAAACAATGAAAAAAGGTACACAATATTTACAGATAGTTTTGGTATATTCTTGGGAAGACTGTTCCTGCAGAATGGGTTGACTAAGTCGCAGTCGGGCAGAGTCTCTGGATTCGATCTCTTAATCTTCCCTCGTCTTCCGGTACCAACCCATATTTATATGGTCGGTACTCCACTTATGTAAATTAGGTGTATCATACACAACAGAATGGTTGTCTGATTTGTCTACATGATACATGTATGGAGAATGATGTCTGCTATTGCACAGCACAAAAAACAAAGACTAAGTTAAAATGCCATTAGCAATTGAAGAAAGATAACATTTAAGTTTGATTTTTAGTTTAAGAAAAACGTTATCAGAGAATAGTTTGATAAAAAAAAAATGATTATTTGAAGAGAAATATTCAGATAGCATTAATGAAAATCAAATAGTAATCACAACGAAAAAAAAAGAAGCAATTTTAATCCCGTTTCTAATACAGATATGTCCGTACACACTTTTTGATGTGTAATCAAGATAGAATATTGCATTACATTTGCAGAACTTTTCTTTTAATAATTTCATATTTTTTTATGTTAGTCTTTTTATTTTGCTATGGTTATCAGTTCTAATTATAAAAGTTTTAATTCAATTTTTAAATTCTATCTAGTCTTTCTTATTTTTGTTTTCTAGTATTATTCATCTTTCATCTTTGAATGATCCAAATTCTTGTGTGTTGAACTGTTTTGATTTGTTATCTGAACCTCTTTAGTGCTTCACAGTTGTATCAGAATTTGTATTAAACCTGATTATTTTTCCTATTGTATTCACATAGTCTTATTTAATAAAAGGAAGCTTTCTTTGCAGAATAATGTCTCACCTATTTGCTTTTAAAGACACGTATGTAGAGGGTTAACAAAAAGGTAATGATTAAACAAACTATTGGAAGCTTCATTCAAGTTAGTGCAAATTATTTTTTCATTAGTTCTGAGATTTAGACAAATTATTTTAATTATTGGTTATCTACTATACATTGGAATAATATAAGTACACAATACCCCAAAATTAAATGCATAATAATAACCTCCAAAAAGGATACCGTAAATTACACTGACATACTAAAATTTATAGGCTAGATGCCTAATGTTATGTAGGACCCCCTCTAAGTTTGCAAAGTGCAATAACTCAATGTGGCATCAATTCCACAATTGGTTTGAAGACCACTAGAGAGATATTGAGCCATTCCATCTTGATCAATATTCTCAACTCTATGATATTTGTAGGTGTAGAATCTTGTGTGCACATATTCTCCACTATCTCCCATAAATGCTTAATTGGGCTCATATTGGTTAAATGTGGTGTTCACACCATTTTTCAGAAGTCTCCAGAATGTTTCTCAAATTCTGAGAAATTTGGGCCTGATGACATGACATTATATCCTGCTGGAATAATCTATTACGGTAGTAGTACATGGGCCATGCCACATGCTAACATTCCTCCAAAGTGAGGCACTGATGTCATGGTGTTAATAAAGGTGCTACCATGGGTGTTCTGCTCCAATATTCCATGGAAACTAAAGAGCTACAAATTGTCTTGATGGATATACATCTGTTACTTTAGACTGACACCTCTGGTCATGATCATTAAGATCCTGTAGTTAGCATTCCCAATATACATTTGACACTGTAGATTGAGGGATATCAAGTATCCTTCCAATGTCAGAAATGGAATATCCCACCTATCTGACATCTACTATTATGCTCTGTTGAACTTCAATAATTTGCATAAAAGATGTCAGAACACAAGTGATATAGTTCTGGGCCTTTCTATAACATAAAAGTGGAGTGGTACCACCTACCATTACCTTTACATACTGCTACCCTATGGCTCTTGACTCATTAATGTATTTGGAATCAGTCCAAAAATAAAATGAGACACTAATTTAACTTCTAAAAAACTTGTTTTATAGACAAGGAAAAGCTATATTCATTGATAGATAAATCTCCATTTATAATTTAGAAATATGTCTTCTTACTATAGATAGGATGGACCTCCAAGTGCATCATTTATTGTGCAGGAATTAAAGTAATAAATATTTGGCTAAAATTCTGAAAGTATCTTCAAAGAATGCTAAAACCAGGTTAATAACCATACTATTGATCTTTACTTAACATTTCAAATGACCCTGTAAAGTTAATTGATGGAATAGATTTGATATTAGACTGGTTGAACTCCATTAGGAAATACTGAAGAAATTTGTATGTAAGATTTTCTTTAATTTCATTTAATCATAGCTAAAGTGAGCTGTTACTAAGTGAACAACTCTTTCGTCTTTTTTCTTTTAGGTAACATTTTTGCTTAGTTTGATTTTCATTGGATTTATCCATTGACATTTAGGCTTTTTATCTAAGAATTATTTTATTTATATCTGTTAGATAATGAGAATCAACAAAATATTAGTAATATCCACAGTGTTATTAGCACTGCAAACTGAATTGCATAGACAATATAGCTTTGGCCTGTTTATATAGAGAATACACACAAACTTCATTGGAGTTCTATCATCACATATAGGTTCATATTCTAACAGTATTTTTCAATTTAGTCACTGATTTTTAGTTTTTAAGATATTCTCTTTGCTAGTTTGTATGTTTTCCATCTTTAGCATGAAGTCCTGTTATTGATTTTCTGTATTTGATTGAAAATCAGAAATCATCACAAACTCTTCTTTGAAGAGTTGAAAACTTTTTTCTACTCATCATATTCTGTTTAAACAATTTAATAAAAATTTGCTTATGAACATATATCCAGACATGTCTGTCAAATGTAAGTTATCTGTTAAAAATTTAATTATCAATAAAACGTCAATATAACATTCAAATCTTTAACTTACTACAAATTAATTAAAACAAATGTTTGACTTAATCGTATATAAAACTGAAACCACTTTGTCTGCCATTATGAGCTCCATTATTTTAATTTTTCTTTTTGATAAAGTTTAACCAGTTAACTAATATTTCCATTTTTACAATCAATGCATAGTCCTTTTTATAAATTCTTTTTAATATGAATAATCTATAATATCATTCACTTTAAGCTTATATATACCTGTTCCTAATTTATTATGCTCAAAATGCATTCTTTTAATACATTTTTAACAAAAATCACAATTTAAACTGCAAGTTTGCAGTTATATATTATCATCATGAGCTGATAACAAAACTTTTTTGTCTCATAAAAACTTTAAAAGCTGTCCAAATATTAAAAAGAATTTAGATACGTCTAATTTTTTTCAATGTAATATAGGTATTAATTGATGTATATCATGCTGTTTTGATTTGTTAACTACTAAATGTGATAAGTCATTAATAAAGTGGGTATATACTTTTCAATGTGCTATATCAGTTTTAATTTGTATTGTTGGATTTTTGTTAACAGCTTTATGTATAGTAATTGAGTCAAATCATGAAAAACTGAATATTATTCATTCAAATATCAAAATAGAAATGTGATGTTTAGTTGTTTCAAGTCTACTGCACACTGACAGTTAATTTAATCTCAAAAGATTTACTGTGATTAAAAGAGAAAATTATTTTCAAAATCAAAACAATAAAACTTGCTTTTATTTATTTTTAATAAATTTTCACTTGTAAGCATAATTCTTAAATCATTTATTGAATGTGTTTGAAATAAATTTCTGTTTAAATTAAACGTTGATATATTGGATTTTAACTGTTCAGTCGTATCACAGTTACTTTAGTAGTTATCTAGTAATAACATTTGCTTTTCTGATATTGAATTCCAGGATGACAGCTCTTGTCACAACAGGCACTTATTCATTGCTGCTTGCAATAAATGTAAGTGAGTCCTTGAAGGTGCTAAGTCCTTGTTTGCCGAGAGAATGAGGCACTGCATAGCTTCTAACAACTTTGGCTATAAGTGCAAGGTTTCTATTTGTTTCCTCTTCAATCCATTTGAGGTGTTATCATCCTCTGTTGATAAAACTGAATGCTTTGTCAGTAAATTCACCTCAAACCTTACTCTTGACACATTTTGAATATCCCTGCCTAACTTTTCTCCTAGAACTGAGTCTCTGTTGAATGATATGCATATAACCCCTCTCATGGTTTTTGTTATCATCTCTAACCTAGATCCCCACAAAGCATGTGGACCCAATGGTATCCCTGTAATAGTCATTAAGAAGTATGCTCCCAAACTGGCTCCTGTTCTCTCTAAACTGTATAATAAATATCTCACTGCCTCCTGCTTTCCTGCCTGCTGGAAGTCATCATCTGTTGTTCAAGTTTTTAGGAACTCTGGTGAGCCGTCCTACTCTTCCAACTGTCAGCTTCTATTAGCTTTCTACCTCTTTTTGGTTCATCATCTCTCAGTGCAGGGCTTTTTCTCAGGTAAGCAATATGGCTTTTGTTTCTCCAGGTCAGCTGCTTGATGTACTGATGGTAATTGCAGAAAGAGTCTATCATGTTCTAGATAAAAATGGTGCAGCCCAGGCTGTAGCATTGTACATCTCAAAAGCCTTTGACAGGGTCTGGCATTCAGTTCTTCTCTGCAAGAACACTTTTTGAACTGATCCAGTCTTTCCTCTGAAATCATAAAATGAATGTTATCCTGAACAGACACTCATCTAGATCCTTTTGTACTAACACGGGTGTCCACTAGTGCACCATCCTTGGTTCTACTCTGTTTCTAATTTTCATTAATGACCTTCCTTATGATTTCAGCTCTCAGCTTGATATCTATGCTGATGACAACAATTTACTACTGCCTCAATAGTGAAGCTTATCCATCAGACAAGGTCAAAATGGCAGCCAATGTCAAAAATGACCTCAAGTCCGTTGATAACTGGGGTTGTTAATTTTAATGCCTCTCTTCATTAATCATTTGAAAGACCCTTCACTGTCTTCCATCAACATGGTTGATGCTAACCTCCAAGAAAATGACTTGTTGCACCTTCTTGGGCTTACATTCTCTGCTGATAGGACCTGGAAAAATTATATTGAATCTATTACTAGATCAGCTGCTAAGAAAGTTCACTCTGTCCAGTGAGACAATTTTTATCTCTAGAATCTATTTTACATATCTCTAGGTCTATCTTTTGCCCATGCTTAGAATATTGCTGCCATATATGGTCTGGTTTCCCTGCTATTTACCTTGAGTTCCTTGATAAGATCCAAAGAAGAATCTTCAATATTATAGGTCCTAATCTGGCACCTAGTCACTTTCTCATCTCCGTAAGATTGCCTCCCTTTGCCTTTTCTATAAATACTTTCATGGTAATTGTTTGAATGAGCTCTTCGCTATGGTACCTAGAGTTTTTGAATTTAAGCACAACACTAGACTGGCATCGAGATCTCATCAGTTTACAGTTGAGCCACCTAGATGTAGCCATAAATTATATGCTAATGGTTTGTTCTCTTGAATTTCTTGTTTGTAGAACTCCCTTCTGGCTCAATGCTTTCCAGCCAACTTTAATCTGCTAAAATTTAAATGCAATGGCAATCGTTATCTACTGTCATTGTGATTACTCCCTTCTCTTTCTGCTTGTCATTATTGTTTCTGTTCCTAATTCTTTTACACTCTGTAACCCCTTGTGTTTTAGTGACATTACTGCCTTGCTTGGGGTGATACCAATTAAGACAAAAACCAAAAAACATACTTTAAAAATCCTTACTTGTGGACAACTTTTCAGTTAGTTTTTTGCAAATCCAGTGGTAGCTGTAGAAAAACACAGCACAACTTGCTGTTTGATGGCTGAGACTTTAATTTATTTGAACCAGAATGGAAACAAAGAGAGATTAAATATGGTTGATATTTCTTTATTTCAGATTTTCTTTCTTGAGCAAAGAACAACGTTTCCTTACTTAAAATCATAAGGAATAAGATTTCTTGTTTTGAATTGTCTTCTTTGAACATTGTGGGTTGTAGCACCAAACTTATGCACATTTGATTGCTTCCTGTTTGGTCAAATTCTGGGAAGTGGATCTGGCCAGGAACTTTTCAACACACCCTTATGGTTTTTATATTAATTTTTGGCCTCCTCTTTTTTCAGACTACAGTCAGGTACAGTTTTGCCTCCTTTTAACTATTAACACTTTTTATATAAATGATTTCAAATTAATATGAGTATATGCTATCTTTGAGAGACTAATGCAGTTTTCTTTGTGAAAAGTTTATACTTTTCATTTTTTCTTTGATCCATAAATTATCACTATCAATAATCTACTTGTAACACTGACCCCATTATTTTGGAAAATGCTTGCCAAGTTATATTTTTGGACAATTTTTGTTTAATTTTTTTCTATATGATTATAAATATAAATTTATATTGACTGAGTTTATTGCATATTAAACTATACTGAAAAGAATATTATCAATGGATATCAGTTAAATTGCCATCATTTAAAATGTCGCTATCAATGTTGCTTCTGTGAGATTGTTTTTTTTTCTGAATGCTACACATCTCTTATGGTTTTACCACTTCTTTTAATCATTTCATCATTACTAATGAGCTATTTTCATATTCATGTTACATGAGTGCTGAAAAATTTTCAACTTTACCCACTTCCCAAAATCTGGCCATTTTTTTTCCCTTGAAAGAGCTTTTTGGATAGGATGAAAACTTTTCAGCACCCCTTCATATTGTAGGTCTTAAATTACCTTGTAGTTTCTTTAGTTCAAGTTGCTCTCAAAGATTTTGATTTATTTCACTTTCAGTGTATCTCATATTATAAAATCATCAATTTCAGGTATTGATATAAATAAAATATTTAGAAAAATTTTAGTTGATAGTGTAATCACTCAATGTACATTTACTGAAAATGATTGGGACTGATAGGATATTATAAAAGTACATAATATGAATTTTCAGAGCATAGGTCACAGAGACAAAGATAGATGATAAAGGATCAAGAGTTACTTAGGACAACAAAAGACAAGGAAGTTGTGGAGATTCACGATTGCTCCCATCCTGAAAGGACATGGGAAACAAAAGAATGTGCTCTTTTTAAGCATATACCTTAAAAAAAAATTTGAAAAATCTCTCTATATAAAGTTGTAGCCTCTGTCTGCTTGTTATCAAACTCCTTCTGGGAATGACTCTTATCCAAAATATAGGAGAAAGCCAGAAGATGGAGGTCACATCTGCAAGATCAAAATGAGATAATATGGACATCAAGTTGAACAAGAAATCACCAATCAGTGGCTAGTGCTTTACAATACATATTTGTTGTGACAATTCAACTGTCATATCAATGTTGAAATCTGCTCATCAATTCATTCAATCAAGTATTTTATCAAATACATATCAAAGGGATCAGATCAAGCTGTTTTTGCATCCCCCCTCCAATTTTTTCCCCTTTGATTTAAATTAAATTTAAATTTGAACAAGGGAATGAATCCTACCCAAAATATAGAAGGAGAAAACCAGAAGATAAGCAGTTTAAAATCCCCACTGCAGTTGACTTTGAACATATATTTTTTTTAAGCTATCATACCTGTATTGCTTTGATAAATGTGATCTGAAATTGTATGAGGAAGAATTTGTAATTATTTTATAATGTTATCCTCATCTTTGTTGTTTTTATTTCAATGTTTTGGTGAATATGTTCTTTGGTTTGCCTTCTAGTGAATGTTTGCTCAACATTTAACACCACTTCAATTAGAACAACAGAGTTCAGAGATCTGATTTCAACACTGTTTTTCTTGCCCTAAAACCAGGTGACCACATGTTATTATGGTTCCACTCACATATCACAGAACAAAAATTAGTTCAATTTAATTGTGTAACCAACGGCTGTATAACCTTTTGATATTTGGTTGCTTGTATTTTTCTTTTCATAATTGCTTTGATAATTTCATCCTCTTCATTTGATTGGCTTCGTTTCTTTTATTTATTTACTTTTTTTTCTTTTCACAGGCAGTTTGTGATTATTTTAGTGAAGAACAGAAACGGATTTTACAGGATATTGAATATCAGGTTTGTGCATTTTACCAGTAGTGTGCTTGTGAACTAATTAGATTTTAGTTTAAAATAGCAAAGTGCTATGGTTATTTATTACTACTATAAATTATCAGTAGAGAAATTGGAACCATGCCAGGAAACAGTGATTGCTGGTACAATTTCTCTTATATCCCATGTGAATAAAACCTGGAAAATATGTTTCTGTTAATATTGATGCCAGAAGGAATATATAACAAAAATCTCTTTTTAGCTTAATAAATTGAATTTTCTGTGTTCATCCAAATTACCAAAATGGCTAATCATTATTTTCTTTCAATGTCACTGAAGCTGTGTGTTATAGAATATTTTTTGAACAAGATTAATTTCCCAGAAATGCATTTTATTTTTTCTCATGTCCTTAAAATGAAGGCTTTTTATATTGGCAAAGTTCTGACTAATTATTACATTTCAAGTTTGAATTTCTTATTGTATTTCTAGGATTATTATCATTTCTTTTAAAGAAGTTTTTAAATAAAATCTTAATTTATTATAAATTAGCTTGCTTAGATTTTGACTTGCAATAATAAGTATCACCATAAAATATTACATTTTATTCATATAGCCCAAATTCTAATTTGATAAATTTGAGATATCAACAAAAGTAATGTCTTGCTGGAAATTATACTCACTCTAAACTCAAACTTTGCATAACAAATACTAAAATCATTACCTAAAAAGTGAATATAATTTTGTGGTAAATTACATATTTTTTGTAGATGACTACTAAGTATTTTTCAGACTAATGAAATAACATTAATTTAAGATATTTTTTAACAGTCATTCATATGTATATTATATCAAATAGATTATACCCAAACACAAAAAGAATTCATGAAGTGCTGATCAAATGTCAAATAAGTATATTTTTAAGCTTATATAATTACGTACAATCATTTTGCACAGGTACAGAATTCAGACTAATATTATTATTCAGAGCATTGAACATTTCTAAACTTTTAACAAATAATTTTTATCTTTGTCAGTTTAAGAAAAAAATATAAAGAAATCTTGAAATACTTCAGAATAAAAGACTACTAACTTTCCATTGAAGAAATTTGAAGCTATTTAAGTTTGGTGATTTTTATTGGCTTGAAAGGGGGCTATGTTAATTGATATCTTGTATTTAATGGCTGAAAAATTCCTAGACTAACCCACATCCAAAAATCTGATCAAATGACCAAACATTTTTTTTTAATCCTTTTGTGATTTGACTGAGAACTTTTCAGCACCATCTTATGTCTATATAAATATGCATTCTTTTTGTGTTCTTTGACTGACCTCCCCCCCCAAAAAAAAACTTATTAACTGTCAAATATCAGTTGAGAATCTCTCTATATAAATCTGGTTTATTCTGGGCATTAGTTGCAAAAGAAAGGATCAGTTAATAGATTTTATTTGCGAATCAATATATATTTTTGGAAGTTATATAATGTTTAGAATGGAAATGATATGCTGTCTTTCTGAATATGCTGACCAAACAGAGAATTTCTTTGATAAGATATATATTCAGCAGTCTATTATTTATGATTGTTTCCGTATAGGTGGCATTCTGAGTAAGGATAATAATTCTTTTAAATGCTCCTTTTAGTAAAATTATTGACTTAGTTGGACATATAAGAAGGATGACTTTAATGTAAAGCAAATGGATAATATATTACAAAGCAGAATAAAATACATTTGTCTCATTGTATGATTTGCAATAATAATGATGTGGGTATATGTATGTTTGGCATATAGAATTTTCACTGAGTATGTATCTTATATACATGCTTTGTATATTATAGCGTTTAAAAATGATTTTTAATAATTTCACTTCAAGCAAGGATGTAAAGCCACTAAGATGCATGGGGTTACTGAGTGTGAAAGAATATAAAAAAGAAAGCATTAAGGAGAGAGAACAATAAAAGAACAGGAATTAAGAAGACAATGATTGACATGGCATTTGAATTTTTGAAGATTAATGTTGACTGGAACGCAAGAAGCCGAATGAAAGTTCCACAAATAGGAAGTATAAGAGGAGAAACTGTTAGTATCAAACTTACATTTACATCTGGCCATTTCAACTGTAAGATGATGAAACCTTGCTAAATTCATAAAGTCTAGGTACCAAAGAGGAAAGCTCATCAGAACAATTACCATGAAAATATTCATAGAAAAGGTTCAGGGAAGCTACATTACAGTGGTAGGAAAGTAACTGAAGACAAGATGCTAGGTCAGGACCAATAATATTGCCGATTCTTCTCTGTATTTTATCAAGAATCTCTAAATACATTGCAGAAGCACTTGACAGCAATATCCAATGTATGGATGAATGGTAAACTTATAAATGTGTAAGATAGATTCATGCAAAAAAATAGTCTAGGACAACACAGTGAACCAACTTTCCTAGCAACAGACCTAGTAATTGATTCAATATAATATTTCCAATTCATGATATTGAAAAATAGTAACTTGAAAAGATACAATAAGTCACTTTCTTGGAGGTTAGCATTAGTCATGATGATGGAAGGTAGAAAAGGTTCTGTCAGGTAATAAATAGAGAGCAGTTTTATTTTGGAGTTATTAAAATTATCAAGTCATTCCTTATTCCAGTTACCAGCAGAATGTAGGTAATTTTTTAGATCAGCTGCAAATTTAACCTTATTGACTGGGTCAGACTTCTTTTTAACAGTATTTCAATATATACATTTGTTTTAATAACAAATAGTGTTGAGATTAGCATTTGAATTTTTTAAAAATATTTTTATCATATGACTAAGAAAAGATAAATCAAAAGAAAATACATATCAATGAACATGTTGACTGTTGAATATATATCATATAAACATAAATAAATACTTGAGTTGTTGCAATTAGAGATAAAATTGAATCTAATGAATAAAACTTGGTTTGTGCATATTCATATTCTGTATGTACAGTGAGTCAAATAGAAAATTATTACTATACATCAAATGTATATGCAACAAATTATTTGAGAAATAAGAATAATTAGGTGAAAAAATAGTATTTGTAACCTCTAAGGAATTATTAATTGCTACTTCATTGTATAACCTTTGTTAATAAAGACCGTCTCAATACCTGGTATACTGTGTTTGACAGAAGCTATTAAAATACAGTTTACCAAGTTTAGAGGACACTGCATAGATCACATAAACATATTTTTGTTTTTTCATTCTTTTTTAATACTTACACACACAAACATACATCCTTCTATCTATCTATCTATCTATCTATCTATCTATCTATCTATATATATATCTATATATATATATATATATATATATATATATATAATGTGTGTGTGTGTGTGTGTGTATATTTATATGCTTTAAATTTAGTTAAAATTGTTGGGTTCTTTTTTTCTTTCAAAAATTACCAAAGATAAGATTTTGAAGGTCATAAAGATTTGCAAAGTAAATTAATAGAAGCTTAACTTTTTTTTTCATAAAAAATGTGCTTATGCTCTATTGCCGACCTATTAGTAAATTAAAATCAGCATTATCATATAATAGCAGAACATGTTTATTATTGTTAAATGTGTTGATAGAATAAATATAAGAGGTACATAATATGACAATTGCTTCAAGACTGAACACTTTTTGTTATATTCAAGGTTTACAACTTTTATGGACTAGTTCATGCTGCTTCATCCTGATCAATCTTTGGAGTAGGCATTCTTTGATAGCACACCTGTCAGGCATTCATTGACATGGCTTCTTGCTATGTTTGTCACCAGCCTGCTCTTTTATTGACCTTTTTTTTTTTTTTTTTTTTTTTTTTAATCACCTCATCTCCCTTTAATATCTCTGGAACAGTAATCTGCTCAATTTTAAAAGTCTAGCAGGTACTGGTTTTTACTGGTGTGTGCAATTTGAGCTTTATCTCCTGTGTTTTGTTGTTCTTTCAGTCTACAATCTCCTCAGTTTGATTATGAGTTACAAAATTTTGGATATAAGAATTGTTTTCATACAGCAAGCTTACATTTCATTACTGCTCTGTTATTTATTAACATATGTTCTTGCTGCTGCTAAATCTTATGCCATGAAGGCATTAAGCCTATGTCAGCACCCTTGTCCCTCCAGATCATGGTCTTGGCAGAGTGTTGGAATGTCCAATGCTAGATTAATCTACTGGAGGACCTGGCGGATGATGTATTTCCAGTGATTGCATGATCTGTTGCAAGGTTGTTGCCAGTTTTGCAGACAGTGAGTTGAACTGGTAGATGACTATTATTAACATATGGCCAAGAAAATTTTAGACACAGTTCTATTCAATAGCATGTGTTTATGTAAAAAACAATAATTATGATAGAGAAAAATAAACCCATGTAAACAAAAGTAAAACGGGTTTACAACCATATCATATTGAAACAATTCTTCTTATATGATCACCAAAGTTAAGCAATATTGAGCATGATCAGTACCTAGATGTTTGACCACTTGGGAATACTAGGTATTGTATACTTGGATCTGCAGTTATGTAATGAATAATGGTTTTGGATTGGAATTTAAAGAGCCAAGTTCCAATTCTAGTTGGACTTGTTATATTCACTTATACACAAATATTCTTGGAAAGGTATGAATCCACCTCTTTTCTTGCCAAAAATATTTTATACAATCTAAAAATTTTCTGGTTTTAAATAACATGAAAAAAACATAAAAATTAAACAAAAAGATAGTGAAAAAAACTGAATATATACAGTTTTAAATATTTGAGATGTTCTCTTTTAGATGCAGTTAAATATAATCTTCACAAATTTTAATATTAAATCTTAAAACCTTTGAAGGAACCTGTGTGAGATTATAGGTAATATTCAATTTTAGTATTCACTCTTAATTTATCTGAAGTTCTAATTCATTCTTCTCTTTATTTCTTCTTAATTATTAAATAAAAGACAAAAATGCAAGTCAAACTAAAGTTATGTTTACAATTAGAAAAACAGGGAGGCCATATTATGGCAGTATGATAGTGACTGA